ACGGTCGGGCAGGGGGATGATGTTGCTGAAGTAATAACAGTTTATCAAAGTTTGAGTCACATCAAACATGATTATCGTTAATCGGATTTCCGGTTATCGGTTTTGATTTTTAGTAAACAATCATCTAATTTTTTTTTTATTGCCTTTAAGTTTATTTTAATCCAGAATTGATCAAAGATATCATTGAGAGATGTAATACGAATTTAAACATTATAATAGAAATTTACACGCATTTTATATTGCAAATTCATCAATGATATTCGAAAAATCAAGATTTCTCGCCAAAATAGACTCAATAATAAATAACCCCAGATCATTGGTTCTCTCTTGAACCATAGTTAACCTCAGGAATGTTTGTTCAGTTTGACATTGTTAAATCACCGCTCTGTTGCTGTTACAGTAATTGGAATTAAAAAAACCAAAAATCACTCCAATTGTAACAGTAACATTGCGAACAAAAACTTGTCTTAGATTTTGTTCAGCCAATCCCTTTGAGAAAGAGGCGTGGCTTCAAAGCTGCAAGGATTCATTGGTGTTCTATGGAACATGTCTTCCATCAGTTTTAGAAACATCAGAAGAATATTTACTGGAAGAGACAATAATGCAAAAAAAGTCTTATTTATTTATTTATTTATTTATTTAGGCATTTTTATATAGCGCTTATCATAAAGCTCTAAGCGCTTTACAATTATTAAAACATGTAAACTAAGTAAATACAAATGAGATACTAGGATAGTAACTACTATTCTATAGAAACAATGAAAATGGCTATAAAACGAGGACACTTTGACACTTCAGGATCAACCCGAAACAGAAAATGAGGTAGGGCAAGGAGGGTGCATCACAGGTCATAGGCGGACCTAAACAGATGGGTTTTAAGGGACTTTTTGAAAATGGACGAGGTTTCACTATGACGTATATGGAAGGGGAGCTGGTTCCAGAACGTGGGCCCATGGAAGCAGAAGGAGCGTTCACCGATGGTCTTAGTTTTGGTTCTTGGGATTGAGAGGGTTCTACTGTCAATGGAAGACCGTAGTTGTCTTGTGGGGATGTAAGGAAGCAACAGTTCAGAGAGATAGACAGGAAAGTGAGGGTCAGTGAACGAGTTGAAGCATAGATTGGAAGACGTGTAATTGATGCGAGAGGATATTGGAAGCCAGTGGAGTTGCCGCATGTGTGGTTGAATGTGGTCATGTTTCTTTGATTTAAAAATGAGTCTGCATGCTGAGTTCTGTGCCTTCTGAAGTTTTTCTATGTGGTGTTGAGGAATGCCTGAGAGAAGAATATTACAGTAGTCAAATTTTGAAAGAATGAGTGAAGAGACGAGAGTTTTTGTGGCATCAAAGGAGAGGAGGTGTCTAATGGTGCTGATTTTTCTAATTTCATTATATGCTGATCTGCATATATTCATGACATGTTTCTCCATGGAGAGGGTGTCCGTAAGTTTGCTCAGCCCAGAGTGGTAGAAGTCAGCCCATATTTCAGTTTCATACATGCAGGAGTTTGTTGTTCCACAAGAAGATGAACAAAGCTGCCATCTCTTGAACTGCTGTGAAGTGAGCTGTGACTGTAAGGCCAGCTAGAACAGAAGCAATAATATGTTTCTTTGTTTGTTTTTGTTTTTTTTAAACGTTTCTTCGGAAATTGACGTCTTCATCTGGTTCAGAGGTTGTATCGGAGTCACGTGGCGTGTCCTGAACTTAGTCATCATGGAAATAATTTGGTTTTCTTCCCTTGAGTTGGAAATATAGATCGATTCAGTTGAACTTTTGGCCACTCACATCGAACAGACTTCAGTTTACATATTAATGAATTCAGATTGGTCACTTCAATATCAATAGTACCGGTACCTTTCTGGGCATGCGAAATCAGCTCCAGCAGTTCACGTTAAAGAACAAGAACTCTAACCGATTAACCCTTGCGCACTCACACTCACAATCGCGTGTGGAGAGCAACTGCGTCCTAACACACAATTTGTGTACGGTGTCACTCTTATTTGACAGGTTTCGTCATGAACATTCTACCTTCATATCGCCTTGACAGAGGTAACAAAACATATGGATGAGGAAAATCAGTTCTAGCAGGCAGTGGCGTATCAATGTACGAGAAAAACAAATTGAACAAAATAAAGATCCGCCCTTGAGCCTTGGGGCACACCATGGGGGCAGGGCCCCCGAGTGATTTATTTCGTTGCCTCGTCGTGTGCGTGGCGTGTACATGGCCTTGGGCAGAGTTTAGAGGTTCATATGCATATAAATTGAGCCACACAATAGATTAAGCCACACAAAAGTAACGCTAGATGAATCGTAAAAATATTTTTAAAAATTGTTCCAGTTTAAAAAATGTTATCTTATTCAGGAAGTTGATCCATGTGTTGAGAATAAATATGCCCAATGTAAAACGCATTCCCATTTATTTAGATCTATGAAGGAATGTTATAGAATCTAATCTTATATTATCTTAAAGTTATAAATTCTCGCAGAAAAGGAGAGCAAAATAGTATCTATATTATATTATAATTAAGCAATAAATAATGCGAAAGCTTATTTTGAAATCATAAAATTTCTTTCGCTTTAACACACACGTTATTCATAATTAATGATAATCTCCCAAAGTGATACTCCTCGGACCGGAACTAGTCAGCGTGTCTTACGTTACCAGTCCACACAACCTGGGATAAGAAACTGGATAAAAGTTAAATGAAGTCAAACATCCATACCATCCATAAATGGCTGACCTTAAATGATAATAGTAATAATAGAACCATCTCACATTGGCTGTCCGCGGACTAAATGTATTTTTTATTGCATATTTAAGTTTAAACACAAAAAAAGGTAAACAAATAAATCGAGTAAAAATCCATGGTGCACTGGGATACTTATCACCGGTTCGTCAAACATAAATAATTGTGGGAAACACTGCCCTATTAATTAAAGATGATCTCACGGATCAAAATAGATATTCCCGTAAAGCGTAAAAACCCACACCGAAGAAAACGTCAAGTTTATTAATATCAGCCAATCAGTGCAGCAGGTGGTCCCTTCCATTGTGTATATAAACACAGACTGGTGACATATCTGCCTCTCTTTTCTTAGACTTTTAAGTTTAAGAACATACTATTACCAAGACACACGGTGTACTCCCCCCCCCCCCACCAGGTACACGCGCACTCAGTGTTTATAGATAAAAAGTAACCGAAAGACACTTACCGATGCCAACCTGTGCGTAATTTCGAATGTGTTGTCTATTGTGTATATAAACACAGACTTGTGACATATCTGCCTCTCTTTTCTTAGACTTTTAAGTTTAAGAACATACTATTACCAAGACCCACGGTGTACCCCCCCCCCCCCCATCAGGTAGACGCGCATTCAGTGTTTATAGATAAAAAGTTACCGAAAGACACTTACCGATGCCAACCTGTGCGTAATTTCGAATGTGTTGTCCGTACTATTTAAAACTACGCGACACTAACTATCGTGAAATGCACGTGACCAGAGGTCACGAGCGATCCCATCAAAGCATGTACTATGATACACCTAGAACGGAAAAATCCGTTCATAGTCACATCTATTTAAGTTCACGATAGAAGTGGAATACCCCTTTAACCCCCCCCCCTCCTTATTTTTACCCCCTCCCCCTTTTTTATCTTCTTAACAAAAAAAACAAACAAAACAGGACACACGATTTAATCAAAAATGTTTTTAATAGAAACAAATAATTTGTGAACAAATTATTTATTTTTTTTTATATTGGTCCTTGGAAGCATAAATCTGTGCAGTAGAATATCGAATTGTATTCAAACCTTCACAAGCCAAACGCCAAACAGAAATCTTACTGACTCGTAAACTCTGTTCACAAGTCACACTATACTATACTGCTAACAGGTTAAGATCACTTTAAGAATATTCTTTTAAAATATCTTGACCCCTGACCTTTTCCGTTATCTTCACCTCCAACAAACCCAAGACCAGATTTACACACTTCTGCGCATTTAGCCAAAGCACATAATGCGACCCCACAAGCCTAAAAAAAGAAGAAGAAAAACAACAACAAAAACCGTGAATTTGTACCTTATTTTTCAATAAAAGTGAAATATATCAAGTTTACGAGAGTTATCCCCCTTAAACCACAACTTTTGATTCGCATTATTATGTTAATATTTGATTGAGGTCGATTAAAATGAACGCTATTTCAGTTCGTGGTTTAAAACCAGTTTATAAACGTACAAATAGTTCACCAAAAAATGGTCGATATGACGAGCTCTAACCCGGTACGACTATTAGCCCGCTTCTTTCGTTTGTTCAAATTAATCACCCAGATGGCGTATACAATACGAAAGACAGTGAACATCAATTCAAAAGATTTACATCGATGCTCATCTGACATAGAATTTGATTGAAATCGTTTTGCAACTTGTGTAAAACTTACGTTACACCACACGAAATGATGCCGAGTGAACCAGCCATAATTTGTGTAGGGTCCATGTTTTATAATACAAATCTCACTCTACCCACATTAAACACACTTTTTTCTTTTAATTTGGTGAAATTGTGAAATCTCATGCACCCATGAAATTAGAATCTAGAAGTAGAGAATTTAGAATACACTTTAAATAGCTGTAATCGCAAAGACTGTTTGGTAATTCTGTTTTCTTCTTGCCAGGGATAAAAAGCAAAGAAAAACATCAACACAGTTGAACATCATCAGATCGTCCATTGCGCATCCATTGAGCATCCATTGGGCATCCATTGCAATCAATTTTTCTCTATGGATTTACAGAGAATCGCGACCTACCACACTATCGTGTTTGACGCGGCCTCCATGTTTCCACATTTCCTCAAATTATCACAGGCGGGATTTCGTTACACTGGTGAAAGGTACTCAGTCGTATGTGAAGGTTGTGGCCGGCTTTGGAACATGGCCGAGCTCACGGAATGCGGCTATCTGGTCGATCTCCGTCAAGATTTGTTTCATTACAGGACGTGTGGTTTTGTGGACGCTGGGCTGAGGTTGGATGGCGATCAACGACGTTTAAGTGTGTTTGGTCGTGGTGAAAGAAATGAAGAGGGTTCTTTAACTAGAGAACAAGCACAGATCTTTCATCAACACAGTGAACCTCTTGAAGACGTAACAACAGATATGTTTGGCGTTAGCGCCGCGGAGCAACACGCGACGGAAGTACACAGGGCAACTCAAGGGCCGTTCCAAGCTCCGGTGTCATCTTTTCTAACATCAGTTTCTAACGGTAACGGTGAAGCTCAATGTGTACACGATGACAGCGAGCTTCAAGATGTTGTACACGGGACTCAGTTTACACATCATCAAGAAGCCGACCCCCAGGGTTGTACGGCTGTGTTAACAACCTGCAGCAACCCGGAGACAGGTACAATTGAAATCTCTGTTTTTTTACTTCGATACACTTGAATACATTCGAGGCTCTTAGCCTAAAAATCTCCTGTGGAGGATTAATTTGTAATTTCCCAATGGCGGCCGCGTTATAATTACAACAACTTTCAAAGTCTAATGCACACCGTACAGTGTTCTTTCACATGCAATAACAATTAACGAAAGCAACCGTACTAAAGACATGTCTTGTGGCCAGTTTTCACCTTCTAAGAGGGGAGCAGACTCAAAACTAATTCATAATCTAAAAGTGCCGAGCTTTCGCTCTTTACGGCCCCGGTTACCACACTGGCAACAAGCTCCACCCAAGTGGGGTGGCACCCGAGTGGGACGGCCAGATTTGGACATCAACGACTTAGAAATTATAAAATGGTCATTTTAAATAAATATTTGCCCAGTGGCTATTTTCTTGCTATTTAATTTAAGAAATTCCTAATGAAATGTGTACCAGTTGACTTCAATGGAAATGAAAGTTACTAGCGATAAAAGGCAGTTTAAAAACTGCGGTTAAAAGACAGTTAAATTTGAAAAAAAAAAAAATAATAAAATTAACAAATGAACAGATATTTCTTGTTCATATTTTTTTAAAAAATAGAATGTCCCTTTATAATAAGATGCAAATCAGACTAATACAATTGTTTGTTTTTTCGAAGTGGCTATTCGTACCCGGGTACCAGAAGTGAGAGGTTGGGATTAAAAAAAAAACTATTTAAAATTTTATTGTTGGGTTTGTAAGACAAAATGAGGTATCAAATGGCTAGTTTCAGCCATACTAGTTTTAGCCATACTAGTTTTAGCCATACTATACAGTTTTAGCCATACTAGTTTTAGCCATACTAGTTTTAGCCATACTAGTTTTAGCCATACTAGTTTCAGCCATACTAGTTTTAGCCATACTGGTTTTAGCCCTACTAGTTTTAGCCATACTAGTTTTAGCCATACTAGTTTTAGCCATACTGGTTTTAGCCATACTGGTTTTAGCCATACTAGTTTTAGCCATACTAGTTTCAGCCATACTAGTTTCAGCCATACTAGTTTCAGCCATACTAGTTTTAGCCATACTAGTTTTAGGCCATACTAGTTTTAGCCATACTGGTTTTAGCCATACTGGTTTTAGCCATACTAGTTTTAGCCATACTAGTTTTAGCCATACTAGTTTTAGCAAGGCGTCAGGCAAACCATTGCGTGGTAAGATTCTTATGGAAAAAAATGTGTCTGAGATAATGAAGCAATCTGTTGTATTTCCATGAAACAGATCTAAAAGTTCTATCTTGACGTGTTGGTGGATGTTCTCAACAACCAGTTCAGCTTTATGCTCAACATTTGATTGAATGAGCATTTCACTAAGTCAAGAAGTTAAGTCTAAATTCTAAATATAACTTTTCTCCTGCCCATCTATCAAATTTGACTAAAAAGATATCCCCTTTATGACAGGGATGAAACAGGTTCAAAGTGATGAGCTCAGCCTCAAGCTCCTTGCGATGGAGAACAAGAAACTCAGAGAGCAGCTGATGTGTAAGGTGTGTCACCAGGAACCCATCCGAGACCTGTTCCTGCCGTGTGGAGAGCTGTATGCCTGTACTGAGTGTTCAAAGGTACTGACCCACTGCCCGTCGTGTGGCAAACAGATCCTGGCAACCGTCACCACGTATTTCAGCTGAATGCTGTTCTATTAAAGAACCGTCACGTGACTTTAGGAGGGGGAGGCGCCCCCCCCCTGCCGCTTTTTGGTTTTTGCTTCATTCAAAGTAAAGTGTTTGAATTTTTTCCCCGTAACAACTTTTGGCCCCCTCCCCCCCCCCCCCCCCCCCCCCCCCCGTGTGTAACAAAGTGCTGTCTGTGTGTAAAAATGCGTTGCCTGTGTGTAGATCAGTGTTGTCTGTGTGTAAAATCTGTTGTCTGTGTGTAGATCAGTGTTGTCTGTGTGTAAAAATGTGTTATCTATGTGTAGATCAGTGTTGTCTGTGTGTAACCAAGTGTTGTCCATGTGTAGCCAAGTGTTGTCTGTGTTGTCTGTGTGTAACGAAGTGTTGTCTGTGTGTAACGAAGTGTTGTCTGTGTGTAACCAAGTGTTGTCTGTGTGTAACGAAGTGTTGTCTGTGTTTAAACAAAGTGTTGTCTGTGTGTAACGAAGTGTTGTCTGTGTGTAACGAAGTGTTGTCTGTGTGTAACGAAGTGTTGTCTGTGTTTAAACAAAGTGTTGTCTGTGTGTAACGAAGTGTTGTCTGTGTGTAACGAAGTGTTGTCTGTGTGTAACCAAGTGTTGTCTGTGTGTAACGAAGTGTTGTCTGTGTTTAAACAAAGTGTTGTCTGTGTGTAACCAAGTGTTGTCTGTGTGTAACCAAGTGTTGTCTGTGTTTAAACAAAGTGTTGTCTGTGTGTAACGAAGTGTTGTCTGTGTGTAACGAAGTGTTGTCTGTGTGTAACCAAGTGTTGTCTGTGTGTAACGAAGTGTTGTCTGTGTTTAAACAAAGTGTTGTCTGTGTGTAACCAAGTGTTGTCTGTGTGTAACCAAGTGTTGTCTGTGTGTAACGAAGTGTTCTCTTTGTCTGGCTCAGCGGTGTCTGTTTTAAGATGAACCAATGTTGTTGGTTTTTTTTAACTCTTAACCATCTGATACACTGATAATAGTAATATGCATTTATTAAATAATTATTATGTGTAGTAAAATCTGAAAATCTTGATGTAATAAATAAAGATCTATAGATAAAATTTAAATGTCCCAGTAGCAATAGACTTCTACTTCTACCAAGGTGATTATATGTGAACGATGGTTTTTTGTTTTTTCTATGATGGTTAACATCATCTTGACTAACTTGATTCATAAACAGAATGTTTCTAAAGTGGCGATACATTCTTTGCAATATGTGCGATTCATCAAGGACAATTAATAAACCAGCTCATCCACGTCATTACTCAATATTTATAACCGATTGTTTAATGAACAGTTAAGATGGAAACTTGTCAGTTAAATATTCATCTCATTTATGAAAATAAATTTCAACTTTATTTATTATGTATTGATGCCTTCCAATGTTATTTAGTATAATGCTAATGATAAAGTTGTTTTTCCATTAAAACTTCACATATTTATTAATAGATATAACATATATATATATATATATATATATAAATATATTTGATCGTTAGTTGTTATGCCATTTTGGGTTAAATTATTTTGAATATTTGAATAGATCTGAATTTACACGACCTTGCTTACCAGTACGAAATGTTCGTATATTTACTATTGTTTACCCTAAATACGAAATTACGATAACAAAAAAAAATTCAAACTTTTGTCTTGTGTGAAAATTCACTATGTTTACGTCATTTTGAAAGGAGTTTTGTTATTTCAATGTTATTGTCTTCGATTGCTAGCTCTGATTGGTTTCTTGTCTTTTAGTTAATAATAAATCGAAGGTCATATTAGGGTTAGGGCGAGTAAGTTAAAAAAAAAGAAAAGATCAATGATCCTACAGTGCAACAAGTAAAACCATGAATGTCCTGTTTGGACTTATTTTACCCAGTCCACACTAACCTATTTTATCCAGTACGGCCTAAACTATTTTTCCCAGTCTGGCCTAACCTCGTTTACCCAGTCCGGTCTAACCTACTTTTGATATAAAATAGCTAATATGCAAAGGAGTATAATTGCATTCCGTATTATCTACCAAAGTACCATAAAAATGTGGATGATTTGTTTAAGCCATACGTTCAACTGTACGATCTTCAAGTCACTCAAGAAAAAACTTATCAAGTTTATGGATACTGTCATTATTTTTAATTCCTCATAAACGTATAAAAATTAATTTTCCAAGAGAAATCTTTTGGGGATGAAGTACCTTTCATCATCAGTGACGCCACAGCCCATGTTGGGCCCTGGCACGGCTTTCCGCCTCCATGCGCAGACCCCCAGCTGAAGCAAGTCTTTCTCTACACCAGCGATTCTCAACCCGTGGGTCGCGAGCCTTTTGGTGGACGAACGACACTTACACAGGGGTTGTCTAAGATCATCGGAAAGCGCGTTTTTATGAAGTTGCAAAGAAAATAATTGTATGTTTTGGGGTTCACCACAACATGTGGAACTGTATTAAAGGGTCTCGGCATTAGGAAGGTTGAGAACCACTGCTCTAGACCATCAATTCATACCAGTTTTGTTCGAACGACCGGTGAACCGTCATCTCCTAGGTTTGTGCATGTAGGACAATTTTGCTGATCTATTATTAGGGCATTCTCTAACGTTTCCTGTCCTGCGCAAACTGCTTTTTTTTTTTTTTTCATTGTTGCGACTGTGGGGGGGGGGGTCTTTGTAAATTTGGTTACGCTCCTTCAGGTCGAGGGATCAAAGGATTGAACATGTTGTTTGATGACAATAATAAAGAAGGTGAATTAAAACATGGAGCCCATGTAGTTTTACATACGGCGGCCCGCCAGCACCCGCTTTGCAGCCCGCGAAGTAACGAACTATTCTTTATTCTTTTTATTTTTCCTCTTTCCTATTTTCTTTCGGCCGCACAAGTTTTTGGTAACGTATTACGGCCCGCCTTACATTTTGAGTTGTGCAGGCCTGGTTTAAATACATATTACTTAACAACATTACTATTTAGTAACCATTAAAAAAATCCTCCTATTTCTCTGTGTAGATTAGCCTTCTATTCAGGTATGCGCCAAAATGAATCCTTGTATTTTTAATTTAACAAACATTTTTGTTGAGGGGCTCACTGAATTCCTCGCCCCCCCCCCCCTATGTTGGCTTGGTATATCCATGCTTTCGAAGTCCCTGATTTACTTTCCCAACCTTCATGCCGTTTCCGTGGCAATTTATTTCATACGATAGGACAGCGCTATTTCAGGCTTCGTTATTTCCACGTCTCACTGCCAAAAGGCACTACCCGATATATATAATTATATGTAGTGGGTTGTTGTTGTTGTTTGTTGGTTATGTTGTTGTTTTTTTTTGGGGGGGGTGTGTGGGGGCGGGGATACTGTCAATTGAAAGTACTCCCCAGGAGCCACAGTGAATCGCTAAACCCAAGTCTCCTCTCTTCCATTAAGTTTTGATAATAAAAGGAATAAGGTCGATCGTGATTTGAAACATGTTTATTCACTTGTGGTTCATTATACATTTCTCTTAGCCCGCCTTTGAAATAGGTCTTAGTGTAAGTGACAACAAACAAAAACTACAGATATTAAAATATATTACTGAATGTTAAGATTTATTTCTGCACTTTTGGATAACGGACCAGGGGGAGGGGGGGGGCTGCAAAGAAGGAACTCGCCCCTGGCGCCAACATCGGGGGGGGGAGGGGGCGCAAAAATTATCTTAAGATAGAACCATACTAGTGAATTGAACGGTAAAATCCCATGTACTTTAAAGACAAGGGGCGCCGCAATCATTTTTCTACTGATCCACCCTGGGTGGCACTTTGTTTCTTTATATTGAGGGGTGCCATTTGCGTCGGTGCGGTTTTCGTCGGTACGGTCCACACATGGACAACTACTTTCATGAGCCACGTCAGACATCGACTTTCATGAGCCTAATTGGACTTCTACTTTAATGAGCCACATAGCACATCTACTTTCGTGAGCCACATTAGACATCGACTTTCATAAGCCTAATTGGACTTCTACTTTCGTGAGCCACATTAGACATCGACTTTCATAAGCCTAATTGGACTTCTACTTTCATGAGCCACATAGCACATCTACTTTCGTGAGCCACATTAGACATCTATTTTCATGAGCCTAATTGGACTTCTACTTTCATGAGCCAAATTGGAAATCTTATTTCATGAGCCAAATTGACATCATCGTTTCTTTTTTTTTTTAATTGTGGGGGTGGAGGGGGGGGGCGCAGTTTGGTCAATACCTTTACATTATACTTTTTACAGCATTACGTAATTTTTATACTTTTTACTGCATTAAGTAATTTGTTATACTTTTTACTGCATTAATTTGTTACACTTTTTACTGCATTAAATAATTTACTTTATACTTTGTACTGCATTAATTACTTTACTTTATACTTTGCACTGCATTAATTTCTTTACTTTAAACTTTGTACTGCATTAATTACTTTACTTTAAACTTTGTACTGCATTAAGTACCGGTACTTTACTTTAGAGATTTAAAAACGTTCTTCTTCACCATCTGATTCCAGCCAGTTACCCCGTGCCCCCCCCCCCCCCCCCCCCCCCCCCCCCAAATACGTGTCACTGACTGAAAGTTCACTGTTTAGACGGCTTGTCCTCTGGTGAGGTGACCTCGTGTTTAGCGGCATTGGGGTCTCATGACTGAACGATTTCAAGCCATGCTCTCCACTACTTGGCCAGTACTTATGTGCCATGGCGCTTACACGCGTGTCTCACATCTACTCTAATGGCGTCGTGCTTCGTGTTAACTAAAGGGAAACACCCGAACATGCCTGATGGATATCTTTGCCTAATGAAACATGCGTGATGTATATACGTTGCCTAGAACATGCCCGATGGACATATATGCCTAGAACATGCCTGATTTATATCTTTGCCTAATGAACATGCTTG